ATTCTGAAAACACCCCACTGGATATAGGAGCTATGATCAGAATGAATACTGACACCATAGCCCTTCTCGGGCATGTTAGTTTCGAAATTGCGCAACGTAGGTGCAATGTAATCTGACCAAACCTGAACAAAGATCACGCCACGCTTTGTGCATCAGATGTGCCTATCACCTCCATGCTGTTTGGTGATGAATTACAAACACAACTCAATCATCTCTGTGCATCAAATAAGATTAGTAGCACGGCCAACAATTCAATGTTCTCTAACAAGCGACAGTATGCAAAACCTCAAAAATCGTCTAAGCAGTGGAGGCCTTTTTTTAGGCAAAATGCCTCCGGGCAACCAGTTGCAGACTTACAGGAAACCAGCTCAATACAACAGCTGTAAAAAGCAGGCGACCGACCAAACAAACGACAGGAAATAACCTGTGACATTATGCAAAAGTTAAACACCATTCAGATAAGCGAGTTTGAAGGCACCTTGCCATCACTTTTAGAGTATTTTTGTTGCAAAGCACAAATGTTTACAGCGGGTAGTATACCTGCCTATTCTCACAAACGGCAAGACTTGACCTCTGATCCTGAAGTTTTAGAGACAGTCACTGGCCAAAAAATTGAATTTGATACATGGCTGAAGCAGTTGAAACCATTGATGCAACCAAAGCTTTCAGACATTCAGTCCGTATCTATTGATTTGGAAATTGCTCAGCTCCTCCAAAAAGGGATTATCCAGCCATGCTATCACAAGGCTGGGGAATTTATTTCTCCAGTATTTACTAGGCCTAAGAAGGATGGTTCTTTTCAGATGATTTTGAAGTTGAAGTCTTTCAATACCCATGTCACTAATCATCATTTTAAAATGGACAACATTTGGACTGCCATCAGGACGATGAAACCTGGATGCTACATGGCATCAATAGATCTAAAAGATGCCTATTACTCAGTCCCAATAAGCACTACTGACCAGAAGTTTCTAAAATTTGAATGGAAAGGTACATTGTATCAATTCACATGTTTCCACAAAAATTTACAAAACTGCTTAAACCGGTTTTCTCCTTTTTGAGACAACAAGGTCACATTTCAGTGCCCTACATAGATGATTCTTGTTAACCGCCGACAGTTTCCACCTATAAATACGGAATGTTATAGATCCTGTCACTCTACTCGACAAAGTTGGATTCATTATTCATCCTGAAAAGTCGCTCTTAGTCCCAACTCAAATTATAGTTTTCTTGGGATTTGTTCTCAACTCTATTTTGATGCAGGTGTCATTGACTCAAGAACGAGCTCTAAAATTGAAAGAAGCCTGTGAGAATTTGCTGGCTACTACCTCCCCCTGTATCAGGACGGTTGCCCAGGTATTAGGGCTAATGACTTCTAGTTTCCCAGGGGTTATGTATGGACTCCTGCACTACAGGGTCCTTGAAATGGAAAAAACGTAGGCCCTGGGAACATGCAAGAGGAATTTTGACAAAACCATGTCTTTATCTCAGGAGTCCAAAACAGACTTCAAATGGTGGATTGATGCATTACCATTAGCATTTAACCTTATCAACCATGGGGACCCCCAAATCATGATGACAATAGATGCACCTTTCACAGGATGGGGTTGCTGTTTTGATACAGTCACTACTGGAGGGAATTGGACTCCAGAAGAAGCTGCACATGATATTAACTATCTAGAAATGCTTGCTACAATTTCTGGCAAGCAACCTCGTCCCCAGGACTGTCTGTCAAGCATATCAAACTTACGGTAAATAACACCACTGCCATGACAATGATAAAGCAAATCGGAACATGCCACTCTGGGGAAAACAATCACCCTGCAAGACAAATTTGGGAGTGGTCCATATCTCGTAATGTTTGGCTCAAGGTAGTACACATTCCAGGCAAACAAAATACTGAGGAAGGTGAAGAGTCACGCCTGTCTGGAAAGGAAACCGAGTGGACATTACAACCATCTCTCTTCAAAGCTGCCTCTGACAAATTAGGTGTTATCCGAGGCATTGATCTTTTCGCTTCAAGGCTTAATTATCATCTGAAACCCTATGTTGCCTACAAGCCAGACCCGGAGACACATGCAATAAATGCATTTCATGTGTTGTGTTGTTGAGTCGCCTTTTGGTGACCTAAAACTTTACAGTGGAATTAAGCCAGACAAAATATTGATCACCATAAAAAAAACACATCAAGTGTAATTTTACATGAAGGGTTATCCTGCTGACCACATTGATTACTGGTACTTCATTTTTTCATGTTTCGTGAATTGGGTGTTCCAAGTTGATCCTCAGGTAAGCTAGTTAAGCTGCTGAAGTTGATTTCTGAAACAGTTTCCTTCCATAGAATTTCTTCATATTTTTGTCAAGTGTCAGTAGCTTTTTCTGCAGCAAATGGATCTCCAACAGCAAAAAGAGCCTTTAAATTTCTCAAAACATCGTCTAACTGGCACACCATTGTTAACTCCATTCAATGGTTAAATAAGAGAAAGGTTGTACTTTTTCTTTTGTGTAGCGCTAATTAATGTTAGACACATGTTAACTCATTTAGAGCAGTACCCTGTCTGGCACGAAATTTCTTTCTGACCTCAGTGGCTGCTAGAAAAAAAAAACTCAAATCTACAATTATGCAGTTTCCAGCGTTGCTTTAATAGTCAAGTTGCGTACACTTGGGATAAAAGCTTGAAACTGTTATATATATATTTTTTAATTTACAAAGCCAGGACAATGTCTGTAAGAACAGACGCATTTTCCCAACTTTGTTTTTCAACAAAGCATGTGCAATAAATACTTTTTCTCGTGGGACATCCATTTTTGCGTAATACTCATTTTTCAAATGAATTTTTAACCACGTGATTGAATATAGCCCTTGATTGTCATTGTTTTTAAATTGCTTGACGTCTAAATTGCCGTAGCAAAAACCCTGAGAGCAGTAGTAAACAGCTTGCTTCAAAACATACTCACCTTAATACTTCAAGATAATTCCATTTTTGTTGTCATCTGACCCAGTTCCCGCAATGGCTCCCCAACTTTCATGCCTACATTGCAATTGAATTTGGACACCCTGCGGCATCTCAAGGCTTCACACCGGGACAACAGGGTGAAAGGAGGAATACAAAGCATGAATACGGAACGTAAATAATATTTCTTTCAATTTAACATTGGAAAGACCATTAACACTAGCTTTGCACCTAGGCAAATGACTGCTGAACACACGTTGGCGACTTTTGTGACAAGGTTAAGTTGCAGAATTTTTCTTGGTCGTAGCTTGGAGCACCAATAAGGAAATAAAACTCTGGGCAATCCCTGAGGTTAAAACAGGGAATGTGTACTGCTTTCAAGTTTATTTAGTAAAGGTAGAGGGGGCTCTGGAAAATAGCCTTGCAAAGAGGGTGGTGCGACACCTGACTGTAACTGAACATAATAAGAAGCACCACCTTTACATGGATAACTTTTACAGTCCCTTGTTTTTTCAAGAGCTTTTTTTCAAATGTCGTCTATGTAACAGCTTCCGGTAAAGCTGTGAAATTATTTCAGATTTGATTGACGTAACTTTAGTGACGCTTTTAGTTAAGCATATATGTAGCTCGCATTTCAGTTTCATCTAAGACCCCTTGTGAGAAAGATTAAAGAAAAGTTGTACATCAAAACGGAAATTTTCGGAACGTGATTACCCGCGAACGTTGGTGAGAAATAATTTACACTTGATTTAGTTTGATAGTTTATTACTCTGTAATTCTACATTGAGATTGTCGCTAGTTTCTTGTGCTGTTAAGTTTCATTACATGTACCACGTGCGCATTGAGCAATTATAATTATGATCAGGCTGTGAACGTAACAATACTTAGACTATTTCTAACGTAATCATTTCAGTTGACCGCTTCACTTCAGTGTAAAGACCAAAGGAATAAAGAAGTTGCAAGAAAGCGATCCTTCTGGTCAATTGAACCTTTATGAACATTGAACTAGCGCGTAACACAACACGGGTACCGAGAATTAAATAAGATCCCATTACAGTCAACAACGAGGGTTAAGAGAACTCAAAGAACTCAAATCATTTGAAAGGAAATTCACATGACAAGTTATGAACTGGAATTAGATAATGGATTCTGATAAAGTAGAAAATAGAGAAGAAGCTAACACATTTGAAGGTGCACATGGTTACAGCAAAGAAACTAAAGAAAATAGCCACATCGATGCGAAAGAATGTGAAGTAGAAACCGCACCGAAAGAGGCTTAGAATTTGACCTAGAAATCGGTGCAAAGAAACAAGAAAGAGCAGCGAAAGATGTACAATCGCGCATAGATGCGGCCTATGAATCCTTACGAGAACCAGCAGATCTAGTAAAACTTAACGCTTGCAAAGACGGTTTACAAACTGAACTGGACAACTTGAAGACGGTACATGAAAACTTGATTGATTTGCTAATTAGATTAGAGCTCAATGAAAGAGAACAAAGGGAACATGACCGATATGTCGCGTTAAATGATGCCGCATTGGAGTGCTTAGCAGACTTCAAAATAAGAATAAAGGACCAAGAAATAGAAAGAGTCGAACTCCTCTCGCAAAGATCACAGCGCTCCAAAAAATCTCCATCATCATTTCGATCGTCTTCAACCTCCTCTTCAAAGCGCGCGGCAATCGAAACTGCAAAGCTCAAAGCGAAATTAGATTCTCTGAAAAGGCTCCAGGAAATCGACAGGCGGCGAGACGAATTAAAAAAGCAAGAAAAGGGGCTAGAGCGTCTAAATGAGGAAGAAAAGCTACATGGAGAACTTTCCGCGGCTGAAGCAATTCAGAAAATACTTCAAGAATCCGAATTGAACGACTCCATAACTCTACAAGAAGCATCAAATTCTGTGGACCCAACAGAAAAACAAAGGCAGCCAAAAGACACTGCCTGCAATTCCCCTATTCAACCTCAAGGGGATACAAGCAGCCCTGAGAAATCTAATGGACAAGGTAAAGAGTTTCCGGCTACAACGCCACCTCAATCACGCGACGAAAACGCACAAATCTCGAGTACAACCACAAGACGTTCGCTTAAATTTCCCTTGCGACTCGACGTTAACACGCCCGTCTTTGTTCCCCGAGACGTCGTACAATCGGCAGCGACGACTGAATCCTCCGAGCAATATAATTCTCAGCTTTGGCGCATTCAGGAAGAGAGCGCTCGCAAGTTGAACTGCTACGAAGGATGACCGTCCCAGTTCCGAAGCCCCCAGTATTTGACGGAAACATTTTAGAGTATCCAAAATGGGAAAACGCCTTTGACGCACTGATAGAAGACCAAGTCGTTCTTCCCAACTACAAGCTCTATTATCTTGGCGAGTACACCAGCGGAGCTGCACAAAAAACGATCAGCGGCTTGTTAGGACTGCGGACAGAAGACGCTTATAAGACAGCTAGAAAACTACTGAACGCTTCGGAGACCCCTTCAGAATCTACGAAGCCTACAGGGATAAACTAAAAAACTGGCCACCCTGCGTGACCAGTGCAGAGCTCCAAGAATTCAGCGATTTTCTTGTCATGACTCAAGAAACTATGAAATCCGTCAAGTACCTAAAGGAACTCGAGAGTTATTCCACGATTAGAGAGCTCACGGCCCGCTTACCCACCCACTACAGTAACAAGTGGAGAGAAAATGCGAAGAAAGTAGAGGCGAGGTACGGCGAATACACCTTTGCAAATTTCGTTGAGTTTATTCAAGAATCATCCCTCGACGCCAATCATCCTGTGTTCTCGCATGATGCTCTGACCTCAACAAAGAAAGAACTCGAGAGAGAAAGGAACCACTCCGCTGACAAAGCGAAATGGAACTCCGAAAGAAAAGATAAGAAGAGGGGACGAGGCACCACCCATTTCAATCTGAGCGACGAATCCTCGCGTGAAGATCCCGAGGACGCGAGTTTCTGTCCGTTGTGCAAAGGAAGACACAGTCTCGTAACATGCAAGAACTTTCTAGAAAAGACAGTCAAGGAAAGACAAGACCTTTGCATGTCTAAAGGATTATGCTTCTCCTGTCTCTGCCCTCGCCATACAGCAAGACAATGTAAGCGTAAGACCCTGTGCGAGTTGTGCAAGAAACCACATGCAACCGTTTTGCATCGCCTCTTACCGGAACAAAAAAACGAAGAAAAGGCACAGGAAACCGTTAAGGCCACGAATAACTGTGTGAGCTGTAGTGACACTACAACCTCCATGATTCTCCCGGTGTTGATCCACCACAAGGACGACCCAGATCGCCGAGTTAAAGTATATGCCATGTTAGATGACCAAAGCGATACCCGTTTCATTACAGACGACATAACGAAAAGCCTTGGGGTAACCGGTCCTGCCGTAAAGTTAGAGCTGGGTACCATGCACGCCGTAGAGAACATTGACACACAGAAAATTGAAGGGCTGATCGTATCACGCTTCGACGGTCAGGTTGATATACCCCTCCCCAAAGCGTACACAAGAAATCTTATACCAGGCCTGCATGGACAGATTCCTCGCCCTGAAACCGCCCGTAAGTACGAGCATCTGAAGACAATTGCAGACGAGATACCGCCGTATGATGAGCAGTTGAGCATTGGATTACTGATTGGTAACAACTGTGCGCGTGCCTTAAAGCCAAGATCTGTAGTACCTGGAAAATCAAACGAACCTTACGCAATACGTACGATACTTGGATGGGGAGTGGTAGGAGCAAAGGGCCACGGAAACCGAAAAGACGGCACTGGGGAAAGAGCCGAGTGCTATTGCACCGCAACAAAGGAAGTAGGTAATGAACAATCCACTGGCCTGTTTGTCCCTTTACAGAGCTGCAAAGAAATCTTAGCTCCATTGTCTATAAAGAGAATGTTTGAACAGGACTTTGTTCATGAATATAACCGATGGCGGCATTCACAAGGCAGATATGAAATCACTATGAAATCCCCCTACCGCTTCGCGACGAAAACGTCCGCTCACCATGCAACAGAAAACTTGCCGAAGCTAGATTGAAGCAGTTAAAGAGAAGACTTGAAAACGACTCAAAGTACAAGCAAGATTACGTAACATTCATGGAGAAGATGATAGCAGACAGCCAGGCAGAGAAGGCTCCAAATCAGTATGAGAGAGCGTGGTATATTCCTCATCATGGGGTGTATCACCCTAAAATGCCGGAGAAATTGCGCGTCGTCTTTGACTGTTCAGCAGAGTTCCAGGGCCATTCTCTTAATCGCCATCTCCTACAAGGACCTGATCTGACAAACACGCTGATTGGTGTACTGTGCCGTTTCAGACAAGAACCTGTGGCATTCGCCTGTGATATCGAGGGTATGTTCCACCAGGTCCACGTCAATGAGGAGCATCGCGACCTTCTCCGCTTTCTCTGGTGGGACCAAGGAGACACCACAAAGGAACCAACAAAGTATCGAATGACTGTACACCTGTTTGGTGCCACCTCTTCTCCTGGCTGTGCTAATCTAGCTCTAAGATCTGCCGCTGATGATAGTGAAGACGACCTGGGAGTTGAAGCAGCCTCTTTCATTAAGGAAGATTTTTACGTTGACGATGGGTTAAGGTCAGTCCCAACGGTACCAGACGCTACCAAATTGATCAAGAACGCCACTGAGATGTGCATGAGAGGCGGTTTCAAACTTCACAAATTCACGTCAAACAGCAAAGAGGTTGTCGAGTCTATACCCGTAGAGTCACGTGCAAAAGAGATCAAAGAAATTGACCTAAACTGCGACCTACTTCCTCCCGAGCGCGTACTTGGCGTCGAATGGAACATTGAAAACGACGTTTTCAAGTTCCGCATCACCCTTAAAGACAAACCACTGACGAGGCGTGGCATCCTATCGACAGTAAGCTCAATCTACGATCCGCTTGGGTTTGCTGCCCCCTTTCTGTTCCGAGGCAAACGAATACTACAGCTGCTACGCAAGGAAAACTTAGACTGGGACGACACTATACCCGATGAACTACGAACGCAATGGGAGATGTGGAGAAACGAACTTCCCCTGTTAGAGACGATGGAAGTTCCAAGATGCTTCAAGCTAATGGGAATGAACGGCCTCAAGAAGATCGAGCTACATCACTTCTCGGATGCAAGCACCGAAGGATATGGCCAGTGCTCTTACCTCCGTTTGGTAGACACAAGCGACGA